TATAATTTGTTCAATTTTCTTCTTAATTTTCTTATCTTTCTACTAGTATGTTTCTTGCTCTGTTTCTTATTATTCATAGCTCTGATACCATTTTTTCGATGCGGAACTGGTAGTTGAGGAATTCATGAAAGTGATAGTGTGGTAGGTGGTAGTGTAATAGGTGAGTAATTTATTTTAAAGATTTTATTATAATATTCTTTTGCTAAGTGTCTTAACTTGATATTTCTTTAATATTAGGTGCGAATTCATGATAAAATATAATAATATTTATTGTAATATTCTTCCGATAGTTGTTCTAATCTGAATATTTCATTAATATTATTTATGATATATTTTAGTTATAACATATCTTGGGTTCTTTGGTACATATATAATTTTCCTCCATTAATTGTTCTAATAGTTTTATATCTTCCATAGATTCTATCCAATATTGTAAATATTCGTAGTTCATTTTAATTTGAATTTATTTCTAAATCATACCATTCTATTCTTTCGAGGTCTAAATCATGTAGGTCTATTTCATACCATTCTTGGTTTAATATATCTTCTGATTCGTTATGTTCAAATATTTTTTCCCATATTATTCTTCTTAATTCAATTATTTCTATATTTTTAAGTATATATAGGTTTAAAGTTTCGTAGTTTTTTATCATTTCATCATGCATGTATGTGGTCATGTTCGTTGTTATGCAGATTTTTATTTTCAATTATTCCTTCCTATCATAGTCATAATTGATTAAATTCATATTAGATCATTATGAACTAGATTATTTGTTTATCATGTTTTCCTGTCACTACTAGCATCGTACTTTAGCGGATACTTCCTTCTTATCAGCGCCTCAACTTTGTTTACTCCGCTAAACGGCTTCCTCGCCTACCGGTTTCAACATTAGGATGGCATAGTATAGAAGTTTTCTCCCTGTTTTCAGTGTGCTAATAAACTAGAAATCATGATTCAAATAATTCTAATACATAATAACTAACATAAATTTATTCAATCATATATATGATATTCAGGAATATATGAAATTAGTTCCGCATATTTTTTGAACAATATACCTTTGCCTCTTGCTTAGCCATGCTATCTGAAATATCTGATTGGATTTCAGATTTTGCCATTAGTATTTTAAATATTTAACTTAGTTGAGAGAGTGTTTTTATGAAAGAGGATTTTTATTTAGGCGTTGCCTGCCTTTTTAAGTTACATATCCGTTCCTTTATATAGAAAGGATTTCATACTACACTATAATAATGTACTACTATTCACTTTAACACTTGTCACCTAATAAATCACACCCTATACCATCCCTTACACTTGTCCATAATGCATTTATACTATAATAATGAAGACAATAATGTGCACCTACTTTACATTTTACTTTACGACTTTTCACATACTAATATTATTTACTTTTGTCATATGTCTTCTTTTTCTTTGTCTTTATCTTCTCATCATCTTCTTATCTCATCTTTTAGGCCTCCGTCTCTATCTCTTATTCCAGCTAGACATCTGGAATTATATTATCTTCTCCGTTGTATTTCGAACATATGTTGTCAGGGTATTTGTGACCAATTAGCTTGCAATATCTGGTTAATAACTCTGCCGAAATAAATCCTACTTTTAGTGTTCGTGTTGTAGGTCGTTCTTCTGGCTTAAGTAATGATAAAATCCATATTTGGACTTCATCCATATCTGCTTTCCTTAGCTCCCTTGAATTGGAATAAATCATTAACTGATCTCTTGCATAGTAGCTCCATATAGCGTTTTCGTTTAAATAATTATTTGCTAGCTCTTGTATAATGGTTGATATACCAATTATTCTCTTATTGGCATAAAAACTGGGTATCTCACTTTTTTGTATCTCTGATTGTTGTTCAATATCTTTCGGTATTATCATATTTTTGCTAGTCCTATCTTTACCACTTGTATCGGAGGTTTTATTTCCTCGTATAATATCTCTGTTGTTGCCGTATAAAATTTTACATAGAATAATTTCCCTTAGTAACTCACTTTTATGTAATAAATACTTTATATAGTTCCGATATTCCACTTAGTTCCTCTCCGTCATATGTATATATTGTATTTAATAGTCCATAGTTATAACATGTCCTTACTAAGTTGGCGTTAGTTTTCGGTTGTGCAATTAGTTTATTATAACCTTGTAATTTTTGGGTTAAATAATCCTGGTTGGGTTCTTGGATTGTAGTAGATCTGGGTTTAAGGTTTAAAAATGTTTGGATTTTGTATATATTTTCTATATAGATTCGCGTAATATGGTTATATGTTATTTCGTCATGGTGTAGGCTATCCGCATATGTAGAAGTTTGTGGTTCTATAGTTAATGTGTTTTTTGGTGTTTGCCTCGGGGTAAATGATTTTTCGAATAACTGGTTTAAGTTTGAATTCTTATGTTTTTCACTAACTCGTTGGCTTGTACCTGCAGCTGTATTTAACCAAATGTTATGGGTTTTTAGGTGTTTCCCAACGTCACCTTTTAGCTCTAGATTTTTTCTGTCTTCCGATCGACATAGCTCCGCATTTTTATAGTCATGCTGCTGACTTATACTAGCTTTAGACTTCAGATTATCTTCATTAGTCTTTAGCTTTTGTATCTCGTTGTCCATACTATCCACTTTTGTACAAAGTGTAGTAATGGCTTTGAGTATCTTTTCGATTGTATCTTCTTCCTCAGTCTCAGTCTGAGTAGCTTTGTCGTGATAGGTAATCTGCAATAACATTCTTATCAGTTTTTATTACTTCAATTGTAAATGTAAAATTTAATATATTTAATATCAATCTCCTTATTTCTTTTGTTGTTACCGAATCTTGTATTTTTCTTGTTAGCCACCATTTTACTTGTGTATTATCTGTTCTTATAATAAATTCATTATATACAATATATGGTTCAAATGATAATAAACATTTATATACCAATATAATCTTTCCTATTTATTTCTCATCTTATTTCTGCATTAGTAAATGTTCCTGAATAATATCTACAATGATGTTCTATTTTTTCTTCTCCATACCTGTATTTTAATACTCCTCCATAATTTTTTCATTGGCATCTGATTCTACTATATAAGTAAATTTTTTATTTTCATCCGGAAAATATAGTTTAGGTAGGTTCTTACATAATAATTTTATTTTTTGTATTTGTGTTTGGCCTTTCTTATCAAACTGGTATTCTACATCTTTCTTTAATTTTTGTTGTAATGTTTTAAATTTCTGCTAATTTGATATGTATTCTCTTACGTGGTTTACTAGTCCTAGAAATGATTGTAATTTATTTTTCGTATCTAGCTGTTCATTTGAATTAATTATTTTTTGCACTATATGCGTTTGCATTTTATTCCATTTTTATCTATTTGTATTCCTAGGAATTCCATTTGATTTTTCATTATGTCTGCTTTCTTTTTACTTAGACTTATGCCTGAATATTCTATGTATGAATTTTTCTAATAATCTTATGTGTTCATCTTGAGTTTTAGAATATAGTAATATATCATCAATATATACTACACAATTTTCTAATTGTTTAAAGTAGTTATCCATAAAGTTTTGATATCTACCTAGTGCATTTTTATATTCGAATGGTAATAAATTTCATTCATAGAATTCTTGTGGTACAGTGAATGTTATTAGTTTTTTAAATTTTTCTTCTAGTTTTAAGTGATAAAATCTTGATTTACAATCAAATTTGCTAAAATAATTATATCCTTCAAAGAACGACAAAATAGAACCCAAGATATAAAGAAAGAGGAGAAGATCACCTTCACGAATCACAATTCTCTCGACTTGGAACAAGACACCAGTCAACTGGACATTTCGCGATCAATGATCATCTACATCGGTCTACTCAGGATCATATCAAGCATATCCGTCAAGCATTCTCAAAATTTTAATCCACTCACAAGTTTGACGTTTCTCTTCCAAGGTAAATGTATAACTTGCATTGAGTTTGGAGACCTTTTTGTTTCGTAGATCCAAAAGTGTAGTTTCTGTTGCCCACAGTATTATTGTAAATGATTCTGTACCTTTAAGTCTTCTTAAGTTTATTCTTCACACTCATCACAGTATTGAACAAGTTGTCAAATAAATGCTTCGATACATGTTGAAACAAATTATGCTTCCAATAGTGTTCAACCCAATAACCTGGTATCCTTAATTTTCCATCAGAGCTTCCATTAGTAGTGATGCATGTTTGGACACATAGTCTTCTTCACTGTTGTTGTGAAAACATGTGTATGCCAAAACAGCATTTACTATCATAAAAAGAAGAACATAGAAAACAGAGACATATTCAAAACAAAACATGTCATGTAGCATAAAGCTGTAAAGTAATGCGCTGTTTCTTGAACTTTAGTTATTGTGCCATATATGTTTGCTCAAATCTTTATTGACTTTGTGCAGCTAGAAATATTTCACGGGGGAATAAGCAGAGCAGTGGTGGACTGGAAATTTACAAAAGATTAGTTAAAAGCATAACCAAAGGAACCCGTAATCTCTAGTAGTCGAAGTGTATACTGAAGGTGTTAAGGAAAGCTGACCGGTTCTACAAAGAAAACTGACATTCAGGGGACTTGGATTGGGCATGCCACATGGTTACGTTACTTGTCTCATTCTTGTCAACCTAGAGCAGTGTACTTTCACTTCATGAATACGTAAAACACTTTTTGATAATTTTATGCTAAGATGTTATTTAGCATTTTTACCTCCTCAGATGAATAGCAAGGATGGCAGATTGCAGTTGATGACAATGATGCGAGAGTTGTATGTGAGCTCTCTTGCTGTTATTACCCTGCAGTTGTGTTGTAGGCAATAGCAGCCTACATCGTGGATTAGTTGAAGTATGTGTAAGTTGATCCGCAAACAACCATCCTAATCAGAAAAAAAGAGATACATATTTTGGTGTTTTGCGTGATACTTTTTGGAGATTGATCTTATATCTTTATGATGAGTGAATGAATGAATGAAACCAAGTACAAAGAATATTGATAGTCGGCTTGCCAGTGCACACTCTTTGTCTGAAAGAAAGAAAAACATTTCTTATACTGAAGATCAAAATTTTGTTGTGGCAGCTGAAGGCAGTGTCCTCTAGGAACTAGCGTACTTCACATTGGCTAAGAAAAATCTGGCTATGATCACATAATTCAATTGAGCTGCATCCAGCTTCCTTATTCCCACTGAGAGAAGATCCCACCTCTTTTGCCTTCACCTCTAACATGTCTCTCTCCTCGGGCAATATCCCAGCGATTGCATAAGTACCATTCAGAAGTAGTGCATCAGCAGGGTGTTCGCCAAATCTCTGTTCTAGTTCTTTCGTCACTTGTTTTCCCAACTCAACACTACCATGGACTCTGCATGCTGCTAGTAGGGAACGCCATGCAGTAGCATCCCCCTCAATGGGCAAACCTTTTATTAGTTCTCGTGCTGTTTCAAGCAATCCAGCACGACCTAAGATATCAGTCAAACATCCATAATGCTCAATTTTAGGAGTCAAGCCATATTCTAGGATCATTTTCCTAAAACAGCTGATGCCCTCTGCCACCAGTCCCCCATGACTACAAGCACTAAATACTGCCAAAAAAGTCACTTCATTAGGCCTAAAACCTTCATCCTCCATTCTGTGGAAGAGTGCAATAGCATCCTTTGCCTCCCCATGTACCCCATAACCCATTATCATTGCAGTCCAACACTTCACGTCTTTAGTCTCCATACTGTCAAAAACATTAACTGCCTTCACAAGCAACCCACACTTGGCATACATATCGATCAATGCCGTTCCATGAACTGGATCCAAAACTAACTGCTGGTCTTCCACAAAGTTCTGAATATATTCACCCATATTAAGAGCTCCGGAGAAAGCACAAGAGGAAAGCAAACTTGCCAAGGTTGACGAATTCGGCTTCAATCTTTGAACCTTCATTTCCCTCAATAGAAACAATGCCTCTTCTAGCAACCCCTTTTTAGCATATCCATCTATCAAACAGTTCCACAAGACAACATCTTTCGGATAAGCTTCATCAAATAGACTACGGCCTGAACTAACGCAGCCTATCTTCCCATACATAGATATCAAGGCAGTTATCACCTTCAAACTATCGCAAAATCCAATCTTTATGCAATAACCATGCAGGGATTCCCCTACCAAAGTAATCCTTAACTCACCAATCGCAGACAAAACACTCAACATCGTCGTGACACTAGCAGAAATACCATCCCTACGCAACTCTACAAACATATCCAAAACAGCAGAATAATTACTTACACAAAGATAACCACCCATCAAAGTGTTCCAGGAAACCAAATCCTTCTTTGAAAATTCATCGAACAGCTGGTGTGCACAACGGATTCCCCCACAAACACAATAAAAATTCAAAAGGGTATTCTTCAAATCAAGAAACAAATCAAACCCAGATCTCAAAACAACTGAATGAACAGCTAGACCAGTCCATTTCTCCAATAAACGTATACAAGATCGAAGCACAGAAACAAAAGCAAATTGATCAAGAACAACATTTTGTTCTCTCATATAGTTGAAAAACACAAGACCCTTTTGTGGATCATCACTAATTGAATAGCTACGAAGCATGGTATTAAACATATAAAGATTTGGGCTTTTTACATACTTGAAAATAGAAGATGTATAATCTGTAAACTGGATTGAACATGCGAGGAGTTTGCTTAGAGTGAAAGGAATTTGGTCTTGGCCAGTTTTGATCATTAAGGCATGAAATTGAGTGGTTTCTGAGATTTTTTTGCATGATTGTAACTGAGAAATGAGATTTTGATCTGAAGAAAATGTAGAACAATGTCTTGAAAATTGTTTGAAGGTTTGTCTTAGATGACGTGAACAGTAGGATTTAAAGGCTATGTTCATGAGCACAAATTTAGCGGCAAAGTGTACCATCAAGAAGGATTTGTTGCTTCTGTAATAGAACTTTTTTTTTTCTGGTTTTACGGTGTCCGAAGTCCACATTGGAGCTCCGATTAAATTTGGATCGCGCTCTGCAGGGTTCATTCAGGGGTACCGCTCCCAAAGGATTTTCTCCATATTCAGGGCTCAAATCCAAGACTTCTGGTTAAGGGTGAAGCACTCCCACCAGTGCACCACAACTCACGTTGGTGTAATAGAAACATTACTCCGTCTGTTCTAATTTAGGTGACACAAATTATTTTTCGAGTCAAATAGTTTAAGTTTGGCGGAAATTTACAGATGGAATTTTCAATTTTTTTATATGAAATTTATATATTTGTAAACTACATAAAAAGTATTCTAAGTCACAATAATTGATAATTCAAAATATTTAAAAGATCTATGAAAAAATTAAAGTCAAAGATAGACTTGTTTGAATTTCGATATCTGAAAAGTACCACATAAAATGGGACGGAAAGAGTATTTATTTTTCGAAAAATCCGTCAAAAATGTCTTTAAACTATGAAAAATTGAATAAAAATGTGCTCAAGTAATAATTTGGTTTTAAAATACTTGAGATGTATTTATGTATTTTCCAATTTGATAAATATGTATTTGTTTACCGACACACAAATACAAATACATTCCTTTAAAGTCTACAACCCTTACCCACAAATATAAATACATCTTAAGAAATATATTGATTAAGATATGGAGTAGATATAGTGAAATATATTCTTGATTTATGAATACTTCTTGATACCAATTCATTCGAAATGTATTGAAGTTTCGTTAATAGTTCTATGGCTTGGGCTTCTTCTTTTTTTTCTTAGTATGGAATAGAGGGAGTATACATCATGTTAACTTTTTTTTTTCTTTTTCATTTCAATTTCTAATTTGAGAGAACATTTTTCGCAATGGCGCGCATGTGTGATAAATTTTGAAAAAAATAAAAATAAAATAAATAAAAAAAATAAAAATAAAAATAAAAAATATATATATATATATATTAAATATATTTCTTAAATTTGGAATAAATTGCACATAATATTTATATTGTTCCGCCTAATCAAAATTAAGAGGAATTGTTGCCTACTACTAAAATTCTGTTTTTACAACAGATATGTTCTTCTATGAAAGAAGGAGACTTAGAAGAAAAGGAAGAAGTTTGGATTCAAAAAAAGTATATTTAGACGTTTCCTTCATCAAGCACAATAGAATGAAGAGGAATTTGTACCATTACTAATACGTAGTAACTGTAAATATCGAATCAAGTCTCTGCTCTTCAGATCAGTCCATCCTTAATAGAGAAATTCAGCTAAATTTTTCCTAAATATGTGTTTTCATTGAATAAAAAAATCAACTCATTGAGGAAGATGAACTACTGCAATGTATAAATATTGTATAAATAACATATATGAATAAATTTACATCTCTAATACATAGTTATACATCATATATACACAATTTTATAACATTGATACATTACAAATACATATAATTATTTGATTGAATTTTTTTTGTTACTTATACAATTACGTAAGAATCCCAAAAAAATAAAAAATCAAACAAACCAGAAATCTATAGTTCTTCTTTCTTCATTTTGAGCCCGCAAGACTTCAAAATTTCAAGTTTGTTTTTGTTCTTTGATGGTGATTTTTTATTTTTCTTCAAATGTTCTTAACTCAACTAATGAATTTTATTCTTATTTATAGTTCAAAAATAATCTTTTACAATAATCAATCACTAAAATTGTTCTGCACATTGATTCGAAATTCAAAAAACTCTAATGAGACGTGAAATGTTTTAGCTCAATTCGTTAGAAACAATTTTTCAATTTTATAATGCTTCGAAATCCATTTCTCAACACAACAACAACTGCAATTCTCGAATTTTCAATCAAAGATTTAGAATTTGAAATTTAAAGCCCATAAAGTCAAGTAGATATCTCAATTTGTTCTTCAAGTTCTAACTCAATAAGTTGAGAGATGACATTAGATAAATATTAATATCACACCTTAAAATAATACGTATGTGTATTTGACTCTTAAAATATTATTAGTGTATGAGAGAAGTAAAATAGGACGTATCGATCAAGGATTAAATAGGGTATGGCTTGAGCCCTATCCAAGCTTGGGAGATAGGGGAGAATTAGATGATGATTGTGGAAAAGAGGAAAAACGAACTAATAAGAAAGATTATAAGGTGACATAGAAGGAGGAAAAATTAGAGGTTACAGTAAGAAAAATGATAGTTTTTGAACGCTTGTATGTCATGCTAAGGTACAAAGGAAAATATAAGAAATTGTACGGATTTGCCAAGACAAGAAAGTGGAAGGCTGAAGACCTAAAAGACATTATAGTAGTGCATTCAAATGCAACTAACATAACAGTCAAAGTGAAAGACATTAGCTAATTATCATCGAGGGGTTTGTTCCTAAAGAGTAATAACAGTTAATTGAATTAGTTAAGAAGGAATATATATTCACACTTTTAAAACTTGTCAATATATTTCATTAAGAACTTAAACTATAATTTGTTCAAATTGAACATCAAAACACTTGATAAAGTGTTTCTATTAGATACTTTCAGCACAAAATTTGGAGAAGTTTCAACACTTATTATCAAACATCCACTTTGTAGATAATATAGTCACTTAAAATTTATATGAAGCTGAACAAGTCGTAAGCATGTTCCGATTAAGATCAATGTACAATTAAAAAAAATATAATATATTTTAAGTGATAAAAATATCTACGTAATTTATACTTGACATCATACATCGGAGCTTTTCCAAAATTTGAGTCAAAAGTGTTTAATAGAAGCACACTCTCCTGTATTAAGGTGTTCAATTTGAATGGATTGTAGTTCAAACTAATGATAAATCTTCATTTTTAACTAACAAGGAGTGTAGTGGAATGATAAGTATTCCTTCATCTTTAATTAAAGGTTTGAGGTTGGGGTCGTCTTAGGTACGGAGTCGCCTTTGTTAGGAAGAGTTTTACCCTCAATGTCGGACTTTTCGGCACAAATTCGGATTTAATCGAACTCCAATGTAAATATCAGACATCAACACTAATCTAGATTTAGTCGAACTCTAATATGGATATCAGACCTCGAATGTAAATCGGGGAAAAAGAATGTTCATTATTGAAGACAATCGATGGTCGAAATGAGTGCCACGATCTACCACTCTATTCTTGAAACGTGTGCATAAACAGCCAATCATATATATTTTGGCTAAGGGTTAGAGCATATATAACTTGATTCTCTTTTTATATAATTCATGAAGTGGCTGGTATGTACTCTGCATAACAAAACAAACATGTCACTAGTGTCACCTAGTCACCCATGACTTTTCTTTCACAAAATTCCAACAAACTAATAACACTTCCTCAAACAACTTTTTTTTAAATATTTTTAAAAAAAAGTTATATGAGACATGAACCTTGTACATTAATCAATAATGCATAAGTTTGGTGTTAAAGAAAAAGGATATTAACACTTTTTTATAAGAGCAATGATTTTTTAAAACGAGTCATTTTTCTTGGGTGAAAATGTTATTTAAAATACTTCATTTTTTGTGCTAAAAATTATTACAGGTCCCAATTGATTCAACAATTGAATTATTGGAGTTATCGGGTTATTAGTTTAGGATTTAGTCCAACAAACATAATATATATATAGTCTACAAAGCATTCTTTTTATGTAGGATTTAGGAAAAAATCAGATTTTAATAGGGTGTAATATTATAGTTAGCATACCCTCATGCAAGCATCAATGTATATTTGTACTTGTAACTTATAAATTATACATAAATAACTCTATCACTACTTTAAAACTTCTTTTCTCCCTTAAATATCAATACATTTTTTTTATCCTCATGGTTTTTGATTAATCACATTTAACATTTAATTAATTGAGATATGTACACTTTTGATCTCTCAAACTGTGAATTTTCTTAAATAATAAACTATTAAGTTCAATTCTAGAAGAAAGTGTGATTTATCTTTACTTTTAACTTTCTAAAAAGTATTTAAATAGCAAAATTTCTAAGTGGACAATGATTCTTCTTGTATCTATATCTAAGTAAAATTAACCATAAATATAATTTAAATAGATATATAAGTATTTTTTATAGAATCTTTTCAACTATCTATATTTATCTTTGTTTAAAGTAAGACAACGAAAGTTCTTTATCCCATATTAGTCATGCAAATCATATATATTTTGGCAAAGGGTTAAAGAGTCCTCTAGAACTTTTATCTCATTTTGGATTAGAAACTCAATAACAAAGATTGATGTTAATTTCAACATTTGATGTCTAAATAGTATTCTCAATATCGTTGTTAAAAATTGTCTAAGTATAAATTTTTTATGTCTATATAATATTTCTTGAGATACAAAAATTTTCAAACATTTCTATAAGAATAAAATATTCCGCTTATCTAGTTACTTTAATTTGTTTATTTATTTATTTTTCTTCAAAAGCTCGAATACCCTTTATAAAAGTTTTTGGTCAATCATCTAGCTATTTCTAAATTGACAAAATCAAGGATCTCTTCGCTAAATAGTTAATTAAAATTAAATTAAATTAAAAGAGCTATAAAAACCTTTTATTTTTCTAATTGAACCTATCATTGTAGAGATCCTCCCTACCCTTAGAAAACAAAATCATACTAGTTAGATTATTTTATCCTTGATAAGTTACCCTTTTTTTGTATTTTCTTTTTATTTATTTATTTATTTACCTTTTAATTTAATTTATCCTTGATTCTTTTTTGTGTACTTTATTTTCTAAGTTACCCTTTTCATGTTTTTTTTTTTTTATTTGTTTAACTTTTTTACTTTAATTTTACACTCGTGATTATTTACAAAATTAACATATATATATTTACTGATCCAGCAATTAGCTCGTGAAGATTTTCATTGGATTATCGTGATTTTCCTAGCGAAATATTAAATGA